GTCCTGTATTGACGCTTTGCCTGTTTGATGGTTCGTCTGAGGGCGTAGCGGGATTTCTTATAAGCGTCCGGATTAGTGTCCCGCTCCTTGAAAGCGGCAGCTGTAGCCTTTAGCTCGATGCGGATGTTGCCTGTACTTCATGGCTTCTGGTTGGGATTTGTACATACGGTCACTGTGGGGACGACGTCATCGATGCACTAATTGATGAAGCCGGTGACTGAGGTGGCATACTCCTCAATGCCATTGGATGAATCCCGGAACATATTCCAGTCTGTGCTAACAAAACAGTCCTGTAGCGTAGCATCAGCGTCATCTGACCACTTCCGTATTGAGCGAGTCACTGGTAATTCCAGCTTTGGTTTTTGCTTGAAGCAGGAATCAGGAGGATAGAATTATGGTCAGATTTGCCAAATGGAGGGCGAGGGAGAGCTTTGTACACGTCTCTGTGTGTGGAGTAAAGGTGGTCTAGAGTCAGTGGTTCCCAACCTTTTTTTCCTTGGAGCCCCCCCTACTTGTATCTAAGAAAAGCTGACCCCCCCAAAAAAACATAAAAAAAAAATAATAATAATTAAGTGATTAATTCCTAATCTTTGTTGGCAAAAATGTACATCAATTATAGTTTTTCTTTCCTTTTCTCTTTGGTTTGTCCTGGTTACCTTTGTGTATAATCAACTGTAGGCCTATACACACACATTGTTACCAAAATAATAATAACGATTCATTATCAGTGTAATAAGTGATTAACAGCACCTATATAGCTCTGTCCTAGATCTCCCTCAGACCAATTAACTGAAACGGGGCAGTTTGTTGCATACACACATGCACATCATGTGAACACTGGTTTTGACACAGCTATAATGTAGTGTTATAAAAATAACAATAAGTAACAATAACAGACAGTACGTTACAATCAATAACTTGTTCCTTCCTTAAAAAACTAATGGCCACCTTGGGCCTGCATAACTCTGACCAGGGATGGGATGTAATATAATATAATATAATAATAGACCGAGTGGCGCAGTGGTCTAAGGCACTGCATCGCAGTGCTAGCTGTGCCATTAGAGATCCTGGTTCGAATCCAGGCTCTGTCGTAGCCAGCTGTGACCGGGAGACCCATGGGGCGGCGTGCAATTGGCCCAGCGTCGTCCAAGGTAGGGGAGGGAATGGCCGGCAGGGATGTAGCTCAGTTGATAGAGCATGGCGTTTGCAACGCCAGGGTTGTGGGTTCGATTCCCACAGGGGGTAGGAATAAAAAATAATAATGTATGCATTCACTAACTGTAAGTCGCTCTGGATAAGAGCGTCTGCTAAATGATGTAATAATAATAATAATATAATGTAATAATATGCCATTTAGCAGATGCTTTTATCCAAAGCCACTTAGAGTCATGTGTGCATACATTTTTACGTATGGGTGGTCCCGGGGATCGAACCCACTACCCTGGCGTTACAAGCGCCATGCTCTACCAATTGAGTTACAGAGGACCACAATGTCAGGTGTCAGGTGTGATGCTAGTGACAGCCAGCCTAAAGTCCTGGTGGACATTGAGCCTGTTACAGGCTTTTGTTTTTATTGTTACAAGCGCGCTGAAGGCCGTCTCAGACAGGTACGTAGTGCTGAATGGTAGAATAACCCTTGTAGCTGCATGTTTGGCCAGTCTGGGTGCAACAGCGTGTCCTTTGACAATCCAAAACTGTTTGTATCCGTTCTCGTGGAAATATTTATTTGACATAGAATCGGCTTGGTCAGCAAGCTCATCTTCACAGCCGAGGTATTCCACATCCTCGAGACCGCAAACATAAGGGTCCATCACCCACGATTCCTTTGATAAGTATTCGTCAACATCGGCAAAACAGGATTTAATTTCTTTCCGCAGCATGTTCATGTGCCTGGTAAATTCAGTGCGTAAAGACACAGGCACAGTGCCACCAGACTGTTTCATCAGCAGTGGAAATTGTTATAGCTCCCCTTTGGATATTTTTCCAACTCTGTCCTCAAGTTTCCGCATAAAAGCGTCGAGAGAGTCTTTGCACTGCATGACGTTTGATTCAGGACCCTGCATCCGCTTGTTTGTCTCATTGTAGAGAGTGAATGTATCCACTAGGTATGCCATTTTGATCCAAAACGCATCAGTCAGCTGTTCGCACAGTGGTCGATTGTGATCTTGCAAGAATTCCTTTATTTTTTCCTGCAGTTCCATAAAACGCACAAGCACTTGTCCACCTGACAACCAGCGTACCTCTGTGTGTAACAGCAGTGTTTGATGCGCTTCATCCTCACACAGCTGGGCAAACAGTCTCTTGTTAGTAGGGCAAGCCTTAATAAAGTTTACAACTTTAACAACAGTTGCCAGGGTGTTACTAAGGTCTTCCGAAAGTTTTTTACTGGCCAATGCTTGGCGATGTAGCATGCAGTGGAAAATTGCGCACCCCGGGGCTTTTTCCTTCAATCGGCTGTTAAATCCCTTGTTTTTGCCCATCAACGCTGCAGCCCCATCAGTGCAGCATGCAACAATATTCTCGTAGGGCTGATTGTTGGATGAGAGATATGAGTCCATAGCTATAAAAATATCTTGGCCTGTTGTTGTTGTGGCTAGATTGGTAGACATAAGAATGTCTTGTTTCAAGACATCACCGTCAATATATTGCACGTACACGATGAGCACGGATTCATCTGACACTGTTGTTGTTTCATCCAACTGAATGGCAAAGGGAACATTCCTAAGCTTCTCGTGCAGCTGGTTTTGACAATCTCCAGCCATTTGATCAATTCTGTCTTTGACAGTGTTGTCAGAGAGTGGGACGGTTCTCACTTTATCCACCACCTGTGGGCCGCACAGCCTCTCTACAATTTTCAGGCAGGCGGGTTTGATTAGCTGCTCTCCAATTTTGTGCGGCTTTTTAGCCTTGGCAATTAATAGCGAACACACAAATGACGCCTCCGTGGCTCTGTGTAAATCACTGCCTGCTCTTTCAAATGCTTTTCTGATGTCTGTGGATCTTTTTGATAGTGCCAACTGCTTCTTCCTCTCAAAACAATCCTGACCTTCACCAATAGTCTCCTGGTGTTTTGTTTCCTGGTGTCGTTGCATTTTGCTTGGCTTCATGCTGTCATTAGCTAGCTTCTCACCACAAATGACACATTCTGGCCGAGTCCTGTCCTGTCCTTCAATAAAACAGGAGTTAGAATAACTCTCGAGATATAGCCTTACTTTATTTTTTGATGATGAGTCATCAGCACTTTTACGTTTCTTAGACATGTTGTTTTATTCATAAAATAGTGATGCTCTGACTGCAGGAAAAACAAGCTGCTAGCTGAAACTGATTGAGCGCAGGTCATTGATGTGCACACTTTTTGGGGGGAATTATGCTTTTACATTTCTCTGCCATTATTATTATTTGTTAGATTGGCCTTGGCATTGCAAGCATATGATTTTTTATAACATTTTAAAATGTATACATTTTACAATTAAATTATAGTGGAACATTTTATGCACGTTTGACCTCAAAGCAAATGAGATCACCCTGTGAACTCTGGTGCCCCCCTAAGGGGGGCGCGGAAACCAGGTTCGGAACCACTGGTCTAGAGTTTTTTTTCTCTCTGATTGCACATGTGACATGCTGGTAGAAGTGAGGTAAAACTGATTTAAATTTGCCTACATTAAAGTCCCCGGCCACTAGGACCTCCGCTTCTGGATGAGCATTTTCTTGTTTGGTTATGGCCTTATACAGCTCGTTGAGTGCGGTCTTAGTGCCAGCATCGGTTTGTGGTGGTAAATAGACGGCTACGAATATTATAGATGAGAACTCTCTTGGTAGATAGTGTGGTCTACAGCTTATCATGAGGTACTCTACCTTAGGCGAGTAATACCTCAAGACTTCTTTAATATTAGACATCGCGCACCAGCTGTTATTGACAAATAGACACACCCACCCGCCCCTCGTCTTACCAGACGTAGCTTCTCTGTCCTGCCGATGCACAGAACCTCCAGCCAGCTCTATATTATCCGTGTCGTCGCCACAACTCGGTGAAACATAATATATGATAGTTTTTAATGTCCCGTTGGTAGGATAGTCTTAATCGTAGATCATCAATTTTATTTTCCAATGATTGCACATTGGCCGATAGAACGGATGGTAGCGGTTTACTAACTCAACTACGAATTCTCAGAAGGCAGCCCGACCTCCGCCCCCTTTTTCTCAATATTTTCTTCACGCAATGATGGGGATTTGGGCCTGATTTCTAGAATGTTGGACCCGTTAAAGAAAAAATCTTCCTCCAGTTCGAGGTGAGTAATCGCTGTTCTGATGTCCAGAAGCTCTTTTCAGTCATAACATTTTACATTTTAGTCATTTAGCAGACGCTCTTATCCAGAGCAACTTACAGTTAGTGAGTGCATACATTTTCGTACTGGCCCCCCGTGGGAAACTAACCCACAACTCTGGCGTTGCCAGCGCCATGCTCTACCAACTGAGCTACAGGGAACTACATAAGAGACGGTAGCAGCAACATTATGTACAAAATAAGTTACAAACAACGTGAAAAAACTAACAAGATAGCACAGTTGGTTAGGAGCCCATAAAACGGCAGCCACCCCCTCCGGCGCCATTTCCACGACTATATTTAAGCTAAAGACAATAACAGTTGTTACAAGCTAAATCAAGGGACAGGCATAGCAGTGGACAGGGAAGAAGCCGCAGAACAGGCTCCACAGGTAGAGTAGGGGCCTACTATAGACATACAGAGACTGGTTAGAGGGACTATTAGGCTACAGGCAGTGATACTATATACGTACAGTGGATGACTATTGTCTGTGACAGTGATAGAGGAATATACTTTCAGTGGATGTCGATAGCGTAGGACAGTGGTAGTAGAATACACTTACAGTGAATGTTTATAGTGTAGGACAGTGGTAGTAGAATATACTTACAGTGGATGTTTTTGTGTAGGACAGTGGTAGTAGAATATACTTACAGTGGATGTCTATGGTGTAGTTTTAGGTCTTCTCTGTTGCCAGGGCAGACTGGTTGACCACACACTGGACCTGCTCCTGATTGGCTGCTCTGGTTGGCACCCCGAGCAGGTGGCTGAGTACTGTGGTGGTTCCGTTGACGTGCTGGGTGGAGTTGGTCACCGTCCTCAACAAACTGCCGAATGCACCCGTGTTCCACCTCATCTCCGCCTGTGGCTTGGCACCAGCAGCCACACAGGTTGCCAAGACAACCTAATTTTCCTCAATTACAAGAGGAACATTGACTGTCACACTCACCACTGGAGGAACTTAGACAGAAAACAAACCAACAAATTGAGAAAAGAAGACATGCCACTAATTCTAAATGTGGAACTATACATTCACAGCCCAGTGATAATACCGTTAAGGGAGAGGGATGTTTATGGAAAAGTGATGTATATATTCCCAAGTTATTTAGCACTGGACCATTAGGGGAAATATGTATTGAGACTTGATGTGCTCTCCTTGTCACAACTTCGGCATTAAGAGGGGAAAAAAAATCCAGGCTAAATGTGTAGATGAGATTGACAATACACACAGTATTTCTACACACTCATAGTTCTTACCAACCACAGTCAGAGGTATCTCTATATTGTATGCTCCACTGGGGAAAACACTGAAGATACATGTGAAGGTGCCTTCATCCAACAGTCTGACAGCTGTTATTCGAATAGATCCAAGGTTTTCTGATGGGTTTCCAATAAACTGGACTCTACCTGTCAATCCATGTGGTGCATCAAAGTCAGTAAAATGCATACAATTATGTTTCTGTTTTTCTTCCCAAGTACTTTTCTGCCATGTTATGTGTTTGAGCTCCTTGGTTGTCTCTATCAGTCTGCAGGATAAGTCCACACCCTCCCCCTGTACCACAGTCCTACCTTCTCCAATCACCTGTGTACCTGAAGAGAAACACAAGCCAAAAACACAGTCCAAAAGATACCTGTAGAATAGATGCTTATGAAGTCTAATAAACAGAGATGTTATCAAAACACACAGACAAGACCATTATTTGTATTTAGCTGTGTTTAGGAACTATGATATCCTATTGATGCTGAATTGTGGTTATTGCAAAAAGAAATGTGCCAATTGCTCAGTATTTGACCCGATGCCCATTTCGGCGATGGCTAAAGCACATACTGATCTGGGTCCAGTCTAGTCTGAAACTACTTAGTGAATATGTTCTTAGAATAATAAGCCAAAAGCCCTGACTCTATCCCTACACTTATTCAAGAGTAAGATATTCAATACATTCCCAGATACTTGGGCATGCTCAGCATGTCTCAAAACATACTGAGTTAAAAAACCATAGTAACACTGAGTAAAAACATAGTAAACATACTGAGTTAAAAACATAGTAAACATACTGAGTTAAAAACATAGTAAACATACTGAGTTAAACACATAGTAAACATACTGAGTTAAAAACATAGTAAACATACTGAGTTAAAAACATAGTAAACATACTGAGTTAAAAACATAGTAAACATACTGAGTTAAAAACATAGTAAACATACTGAGTTAAAAACATAGTAACATACTGAGTTAAAAACATAGTAAACATACTGAGTTAAAAACATAGTAAACATACTGAGTTAAACACATAGTAAACATACTGAGTTAAAAACATAGTAAACATACTGAGTTAAAAACATAGTAAACATACTGAGTTAAACACATAGTAAACATACTGAGTTAAAAACATAGTAAACATACTGAGTTAAAAACATAGTAAACATACTGAGTTAAAACACATAGTAAACATACTGAGTTAAAACACATAGTAAACATACTGAGTTAAAAACATAGTAAACATACTGAGTTACACATAGTAAACATACTGAGTTAAAACATGGTAAACATACTGAGTTAAAAACATAGTAAACATACTGAGTTAAAAACACAGTGAACATACTGAGTTAAAAACATAGTAAACATACTGAGTTAAAAACATAGTAAACATACTGAGTTAAAAACATAGTAAAAATACTGAGTTAAAAACATAGTAAACATACTGAGCTGATGTGTGTGCCTTATTGTACCCTAAAAGGACCAGGACTACAATTTAATGGTGGGATTGTGTGTTTGGTGGGTGTTATTTTCTGCCTAGTATTAATAAGAAAAAAGTCACAAAAACATGAGCGCAATAATATGACATTTGATGACGTCAATTGAAAACCTACTTTCTGTGTCCCTCTGGATGATGAGTAGAATCACACAGCACAGCTTCTGTAACATGCTTTGCTCTTCTCATTGCTAGGGTCATAGGGGAAATGTAATTATGGAATTGTATTACATTTTGAGATTGCCGTTTGTAATAATGAGGACCTATTCATTGTTTATGCAAAACAGTTATGTAGGCTATCTCAAATGTAAAATTATGTTGAATGCAATGTAATTTATTCGAGCAATGGTCTGCAATCACCACTCTTTGATGGAGACTATGCACATCTTGCAAAGTAGCCTACACCTTATTACAAAAATAAACCAACAGTTCTATATTGGTCAGTAGTATTGAAACCAAACAGATGAATCTGTAAATTTAATAGGCCACTAACCTGTGATGAATGTAAGTTCCTCTGCTGAAGTAGCTGAGACATTTGTTTTTTGCTGTTTGTGCTGACAGACAAATGTCCTGCTGCTCCTGTAGGAAACAGTTATTGAGTAAGCCACAGCAGCTATTGCAACATGGGGTGGATCATGGATGAGACAGTCTAGTCTCCACCCCACTCGTAGAATCCTGGCTTTTCATAAGCTGTGGACTACCTCTTCGAAAGCCAATACCACTACTGGTTATGAAACATACCCATAGGCCTCATTACAAACAAGAATGATGGGACACAATTATTTTTTTCTTTAAGAAAAACAAAGTTAAATACAACAACAGGCCAGATTCTGTATGACTTGGGACCCCTCTCTCTGATGAAACACTATATATACACAATAGTATGTGGACACCCCTTCAAATGAGTGGATTCGGCTATTTCAGCAACACCCATTGCTGACAGGTGTGTAAAATCGAGCACACAGCCATGCAATCTCATAGACAAACATTGGCACTAGAATGGCCTTACTGAAGAGCTCAGTGACTTTCAACGTGGCACCGTCATAGGATGCCACCTTTGCCACAATTCAGTTTGTAAAATTTCTGTCCTGCTGGAGCTGCACCTGTCAACTGTAAGTGCTGTTATTGTGAAGTGGAAACATCTAGGAGCAACAACGGCTCAGCCGTGAAGTGGTAGGCCACACAAGCTCACAGAACGGAACCGCAGAGTGCTGAAAATCGTCTGTCCTCGGTTGCAACACTCACTATCGAGTTCCACATTGCCTCTGGAAGCAACTTCAGCACAATAACTGTTCGTCTGGAGCTTCATGAAGTGGGTTTCAATGGCCGAGCAGCCACAAACAAGCCTAAGATCACCATGCGCAATGCCAAGTGTCGACTTGTGTGGTGTAAAGCTTGCCGCCATTGGACTCTGGAGCAGTGGAAACACGTTCCCTGGAGTGATGAATCACCCTTCACCATCTGGCAGTCTGACAGACAAATCTGGGTTTGGCGGATGCCAGGAGAATGCTACCTGCCCCAATGCATAGTGCCAACTGTAAAATTTGGTGTAGGAGGAATAATGGTCTGGGGCTGTTTTTCATCGTTCGGGCTAGGCCCCTTAGTTCCACTGAAGGGAAATCTTAACGCTACAGCATACAATGACATTCTAGACGATTCTGTGCATCCAACTTTGTGGCAACAGTTTGGGGAAGGCCTTTCCTGTTTCAGCATGACAATACTCCATCCACAAAGCGAGGTCCATACAGAAATGGTTTGTTGAGATCGGTGTGGAAGACCTTGACTGGCCTGCAGAGAGCCCTGACCTCAACCCCATCGAACACCTTTGGGATGAATTGGAATGCCGACTGCGAGCCAGGCCTAATCGCCCAACATCAGTGCCGGACCTCACTAATGCTCTTGTGGCTGAATGGAAGAAAGTCCCTGCAGCAATGTTCCAACATCTAGTGGAAAGCCTTCCCAGAATAATGGAGGCTGTTATAGCAGCAAAGTGGTACCAACTCCATATTAATGCCCATGATTTTGGAATTAGATGTTCGACGAGCAGGTGTCCACATACTTTTTGTCATGTAGTGTATCATACGAAATGAGTGATCGACATCCACAAATGAATGCATTCCATATGAAACGTAATATATCATACTAAATGGAGTGTCTCACATTTACATACAGAATAATACGAAATGCTCTGAACTAGGAGACTCTGTAATGTCGGACTTGCTATCTGGTTGAATATGGCACATGCATCTGCAGGAACCTCTTTTGACGCATTTCTGTTAACGATGGTTAGTGCAGATGTTCAGCAGGCAGGAGTGAAGCACACTTTGTGCTACAGTAGCTTAGCCAGCTAGTCCTAAAGACACGGTGTCGCTAACTATCAAGCTAGCTAATACACGGTGTCACTTAAGCCGGGAGGCAGGGACAACCAGTGGACAGTGTCCTTCGTCCCCGCCTGTCTTGCACTGTTTTCCCGCAGTTCTGTTAATGCCGGTGAGGGCAGGCGATAAACTCCAATAATATTTGTATTTCCCTTTTGACCCACATTAAATAGTGTCACACAAGCATGAAGATGTCGGGGGGAGAAAGATTACGATAACAACCAGTCTGGTTATACAAGGCAACTTTACTGATTTATTGGGACATGGCTTGACATCTTTTCCCCCATGCTGGCGCTGCAGACTGCTATATCTGTCCACTAATACAGGAATATTAAAGGCCCACTGCACTACTTTTGTGAAAAATAAATATATATATAAAAAAAGTATATATTTTGTAATATATTTTTTCAATATATCTCATCATACAGCTTACAACCAAAAGGCTATCATGTTTTATGTGAGGATGCATAGCCCACTGCCAGGTAGTACCAACTCCAGGATTCTGTAAGAGGCTCACAACAATATTATGTAGCTAGCTATTTACAGAGCCACTGACATTGTGAGTGATGTCAAACCAATATTAGGAGTGATGTTAGATATACTGTTTGCTGCTTTGGTTTGCTGTGACTGTAGGGGGGGTTCATCCTCTAACCCCTGCCAAGAGATTTCTTAGACCTGTCTTTTCAACATCAGTGCAGCATGAGGTATATTATTTCTGTCCTGCTATGCAAAACAATCAACAAGTGCTGCATCCATAGTCATGGAAAGTAGGAGTGCTGAGGGTCCTGCATCACCCCCGATACAAAAATAAAATAGATAGTAATTATTAAATAAAATTATAATAATAACTCACAAACTTAGTGAACTAGGCCTTTATTGCTGCTGTATGAGCAGAGAAAAAAGTACTCACTCCCCCACACACAGTCTTGACCTTCCCCAGGTCCCCCCCCCCCCCCCCCCCCCCCCCCTCCCCCCTCTCCCCTCCACATGGATGGACCAAGAGGATATCTGGGGCAGGCTGGGAATCCATTTGTTAGTAGAATACGGGGAGAAGACCACTCCATCCCACCCTCCCCAAACCATGACACCTTTGCCTCCAACCCCAAATCCCTCTCCAACGTTTCTGGACCATATTATCTAGATGTTTTGTCTGTGAATATAAAATGACAAAACAACAGTTATTTACAGTTAGGCAAATTCTTACCACATCTTTAAGAACACATTGTACTCATCTCACAAGGGAGACTTGAGACAACTGTAATAATACGACACTGTCCATCTCTCTCTCTACTCTCAACACAGGACCTTGATGGAGGATGAAAATATCAAAGTTAGTCGACCTTTCTTAAAAGGAATCTTCACCATATTCTTTACACAAGCCTATTGTCTTTACATAAGTGAGGGAAGTGTACAATGCAAATAAGTCATATATTATAACGGTATTCGTTCACTGTACCTCCAATATATTGTGTTATTACACTTAGAGAGAAGGGTTGGAAAAGGTGGCCATAGCATAGCTATGGTCATGACCATAGTTATGTAGCCTGGGTCATTAAGAGTTGTGTTTTGGCCGAACATAGTTGTTTGTGCCTGTTGCATTTAAAAGTTTGATGACCTTTCTGGTGTGCATTGTTTTACAGGAGGATCTCTCAACCAAACAGTATCTTACTTAATCTACACTGCTAAGTCTCCTCTACTTTTTAGTCACACATGTAGAGCTAGCTAGAGCACATGTGATTTAGGCCTTTAATAACATTCTTGCATGATCTAAAACACCATCTAATTATTACTAAAAGTTCAGAAATCAGGAGCACCGGTCTTTAAAATGCACCCAGCCCTCCCCTGTTTGGTTTATGTTGAGGCGCGGTCACAGTCCGCGCCTTTGGGGGGGGGGTACTGTCACACCCTGGCTCTGGGGACTCTATATGTTGAGCCAGGGTGTGTAGATTCTATGTGTTCTTGTTCTATGTCGGTATTCTAGAGTTGTGTTTTCTATGTTGGCCAGTATGGCTCTCAATCAGAGGCAACGAGTATCAGCTGTTGCTTGTTGTCTCTGATTGGGAGCCATACTTAAGCAGCCAGTTTACCCACAGTAGTTGTGGGATCTTGTTCCTTTTGGTTTGTTCCGTGTTGGTTGTTTAACCTAGGACGTCACGTTATTCGTTTATTGTTTTGTTCGTGTTATCACTTTGGATAATAAAGTATGTTTGCCTTCAACGCTGCGCCTTGGTCTACTCCGTTCAACGATCGTGACACACAGCCATGAATAAAGAATGGTAACAACACATCCTCCGAGAGCAACTTCTCCCAACCATCCAAGAATAGTTTGGTGACGAACAATGCCTTTTCCAGCATCATGGAGCACCTTGCCATAAGGCAAAAGTGATAACTAAGTGGCTCGGGGAACAAAACATCGAAATGTTGGATCCTTGGCCAGGAAACCCCCCAGACCTTAATCCCATTGAGAACTTGTGGTCGATCCTCAAGAGGCGGGTGGACAAACAAAAACCCACAAATTCTGACAAACTCCAAGCATTGCTTATGCAAAAATGGGCCTCCATCAGTCAGGATGTGGCCCAGAAGTTAATTGACAGCATGCCAGGGCGCATTGCAGAGGTCTTGAAATAGAAGGGTCAACACTGCAAATATTGACTCTTTGCATAAACTTAATGTAATTGTCAATAAAAGCATTTGACACTTATGGAATGCTTGTAATTATACTTCAGTATACCATAGTAACATCTGCAAAAATATCTCATAACACTGAAGCAGCGAACTTTGTGAAGACCAATACTTGTGTCATGCTCAAAACTTTTGACCACGACTGTACTATCCCCCATAGCACAACAGTTTACATATTTTTTTCTGTGTGAGAAATAAATATTCCAAACATAGTCTGGGACATTTGTGGGATGCGATAGAGCCCAAAGTAATACAACCATTAGCATCAAAACAACTTTTTACGCAATGAGGCTGTGGTAACAGATCAGAACGTTTACCTTAAAATGTTTATAAACTATTAGGCTATTTCTTCACATTATCAGCGAAGCAATGCGCACACAGCAGAAGGCTATAAGCGCAAATGTTCCATTAGCGGGAAAATGCCATTATCAAAAGTGACCGCAAATGTGGTTATGCATGTATTGCTTTTATTATAAAGATGCATTTTTATGGTGAAAATTATCTTCCCCAAACTTTAAACTCACGCACTGCCTATGTATGCCAGTTAGGCTCTACACCCATTATAAAAGCTGATTCATGTGCTTAAAATTTTAAGAAGTTATTTGGTCACTTTAGTTGTGATACAAACCCTATCAAAACATATAGGCCTATGTGCTAGGCTACATGATTTGTGGGACTACGATTTGAAAACGTCGCAAAAAAAGATATGCAATGTTTCTTGCCTTACACTGGGCATAATTCACAAGTGATAATATATAATTCACAAGTGATAGGCTAATATTGCCTTGCTCAAGGGCACATCGACAGATTTTTCACCTAGTCGGCTTGGGGATTAGAACCAGCGACCTTTCGGTTACTGGCACAACGCTCTTAACCACTAAGCTACCTGCCGCCCCTGCCGCCTTTACATATACTCCTGCTGTAAAGAGAAGCAATGTACTTAATATTAGGAAAGTTGAGAAATAAATACAGTAGGTCTAGCCTATAGAAAGCTGATGGGATCCTCCTCTTTTTAATGGAGGTCATCACTCTGTTTTCTCACACAATTGAATAGACTATTGAAATGTTGTGCGACATGAGCTCATGAGCTATCATTAAGTGTTTGATTGCATTTTAGATTACATTTGCATTGATGTCAGAGTGATTAGAGGGACAATAGAGTGCTGCGTACCAGGCTGTTAGCAAGTTTGGTAAGCTACTAATGACCATCAGCAGCATCAGAGCTTGGAGAAGCCTAATTACCGTGACTAAACAGTCAAGTGGAATTTGACTGCCTTCATGATTCGTGACCGCCGGTGTGGTGGTAATATCATCACCATAACAGCCCTATGCGTGGATCATAAGGCAGCTGTTAGTGAAGCTTCTGTTCCCAGTGGATCACTAGCCACACCCTTGATTTCCTGGTTCCTCTTATAACTGCTGCCTGTACCAAGACTGCATTAGGCTGCATAATATGATGGAATGCATTTTGGAGCAGCTACAAGTAACACCAACAGCCAGGGTTTTGCTAGTCATTACTGACAAGATTCTCAATGTGTACATATTATTTAGATTATACCTGGCCTCCCTTTAGTTGGCTTCAACATACATACATACATACATACATACATACATACATACATACATACATACATACATACATACATACATACATACATACATACATACATACATACATACATACATACATACATACATACATACATACATACATACATACATACATACATACATACATACATACATACATACATACAGGAGAGTTGTTGTTCCCGCTGAAGAAACAAAGCCCCTCCACCATGACAAGGCAGTCCACGAGAGAAGCTGTGGTGGAGGAGGGGCAGAGCCGAGGTTTCTAATGTCACAGTGAATACTGCTAGGGTCTCTGTTCATTAGATGGTTGGAGAATGTGCCTGTTCTTTGCAAATGGTTAGAACAATGGAGAATGTGCAGACTGGAAATCTTCCCACACCCATTGCATGTCTGAGATTCTTCTGGCATCCGCTCTCAGCCTGTCCGGCGATTTCTTTAAAATAGAACAATAAATATACCTCATGAATAGACAATAGCTCCAACAAAATATATTTTTTGTAATATTTACAAATATTAAAACAAAAAAAATCATAATGTGTGTTCCTTACATCATGATACTTCGTCCTTATCTGCCTTCCTGGTTTGGAGTGTTAGAACCTAGACGTCCCAGGTTCATCTTCCTCAACCTTGTCATCAGACATTATAACAGTATTATTACATAGCAAAAAGTGGCTGATGTGATAGGTTAATCACGCAACAATGGTGGACTTTAACATAGTCACATACCTGTGGGGGTGCCTGGAACTGGTGATTGGCCATGATTGAATTCCTTGGATATCGTCCAGAAAAAAATATTGTATGAATTTGAGCCAATCATCAAGTGAAGATGAAATGTTTTCATAATGCAAAATGATGTTCATAATATTACAGTAGTTGATATTACCAAAGAAACTGTCCGTATTTCCTCCAGTACCATACGAGTGCAGCCGCAGTAACAATCAGACATAGAATGACAACGAGTAGAACCCAACAGGCAGCAGAGGTCTCTATGAGGAGAGAGGGGATACAGTTAATATAGGAAACAGTCTGCATTTACAATTACATATAATTGTGTTGCCCTAACAAGCATCATGGCTCTGATGCAAACATTTTCCTGCAGAAAGCAAAGAGATAATACTAAGTAATAAGACATGTACATATGCAGTAAGAGATAACATTTACATTTACGTCATTTAGCAGACGCTCTTATCCAGAGCGACATACAGTTAGTGAGTGCATACATTATTTTTATTTTTTCATACAGGCCCCCCGTGGGAATCGAACCCACAACCCTGGCGTTGCAAACGCCATGCTCTACCAACTGAGCTACATCCCTGCCGGCCATTCCCTCCCCTACCCGGGACGACGCTGGGCCAATTGTACGCCGCCCCATAGGTCTCCCGGTCGCGGCCGGCTACGACAGAGCCTGGATAAGTGTGTATCATGACCATCTTAGTTAGTGGTTATACAGTACCTTCCTGTAGAAAGAGGAATGAGGACATACGTCTGATACTAACACATGCAGTGAAAGATAAGTGAGCATCTGGCTCAACTTTGTTATCCATGCTACATCACATTTCTCATAACCTCATATACAATGGCCAAGACCAGAGAGCTGTGTAAGGACATCATGGATAAAATTGTAGACCTGCACAAGGCTGGGATGGGCTACGGGACAATAGGCAAGCAGCTTGGTGAGAAGGCAACAATTGTTGCCGCAAATATTCGAAAATGGAAGAAGTTCAAGATGACGGTCAATCACCCTCGGTCTGGGGCTCCATGCAAGATCTCACCTCGTGGGGCATCAATGATCATGAGGAAGGTGAGGGATCAGCCCAGAACTAAATGGCAGGACCTGGTCAATGACCTGAAGAGAGCTGGGACCACAGTCTCAAAGAAAACCATCAGTAACACATTACGCCGTCATGGATTAAAATCCTGCAGCGCATGCAAGGTCCCCCTGCTCAAGCCAGCGCATGTCCAGGCCCGTCTGAAGTTTGCCAATGACCATCTGGATGATCCAGAGGAGGAATGGGAGAAGGTCATGTGGTCTGATGAGACGAAAATATAGCTTTTTGGTTTAAACTCCACTCGCCGTGTTTGGAGGAAGAAGAAGGATGAGTACAACCCCAAGAACACCATCCCAACTGTGAAGCATGGAGGTGGAAACATCATTCTTTGGGGATGCTTTTCTGCAAAGGGGACAGGACGACTGCACCGTATTGAGGGGAGGATGGATGGGGCCATGTATCACGAGATCTTGGCCAACAACCTCCTTCCCTCAGTAAGAGCATTGAAGATGGGTCGTGGCTGGGTCTTCCAGCATGACAACGACCCGAAACACACAGCCAGGGCAACTAAGGAGTGGCTCCGTAAGAAGCATCTCAAGGTCCTTGAGTGGTCTAGCCAGTCTCCAGACCTGAACCCAATAGAAAATCTTTGGAGGGAGCTGAAATTCCGTATTGCCCAGCGACAGCCCCGAAACCTGAAGGATCTGGAGAAGGTCTGTATGGAGGAGTGGGCCAAAATCCCTGCTGCAGTGTGTGCAAACCTGGTCAAGACCTACAGGAAACATATGATCTCTGTAATTGCAAACAAAGGTTTCTGTACCAAATATTAAGTTCTGCTTTTCTGATGTATCAAATACTTATGTCATGCAATAAAATGCAAATTAATTACTTAAAAATCATACGATGTGATTTTCTGGATTTTTGTTTTAGATTCCGTCTCTCACAGTTGAAGTGTACCTATGATAAAAATTACAGACCTCTACATGCTTTGTAAGTAGGAAAACCTGCAGGAATGCCTGTATTGTTGCCAGACTAATTTCGCTACGGGACAATAAAGTATTCAGTAAAGTATTCAATCAAGCAAGCAAGCAATCAATCGCATAACAATTATAAGCAACTTATAAAACAGTATAAGCAACCAGTTAAGTAACCAGTATGAATACTGTGTGTGTGTGTGTGTGTGTCTCTCTCTCAGGTGCTTCTCACCAGAGGATGTGTGTACATGGCTGGGATGGGCTACAGGACAATAGGCAAGCAGCTTGGTGAGAAGGCAACAATTGTTGCCGCAAATATTAGAAAATGGAAGAAGTTCAAGATGACGGTCAATCACCCTCGGTCTGGGGCTCCATGCAAGATCTATAAGCAACCAGTTAAGTAACCAGTATGAATACTGTGTGTGTGTGTGTGTGTGTGTGTGTGTGTGTGTGTGTGTCTCTCTCAGGTGCTTCTCACCAGAGGATGTGTGTACATAGAGGGAGCCAGTTGCTCGTCCGTAGGGGTTGGAGGCCTCACAGACATAGAGACCATTCAGCTCAGAGCTGAGACTGAGGAGGTGCAGTTTGTCTCCCTCTGCTCTCACTGAAGACCCAGGCCATGGCTGGACCACTCTGGGGGAGTGAGAGGAGGAGAGGGGCTGAGTGTGTGTCTGTGTGAGTGTGTGTGTGTGTGTGTGTGTGTGTGTGTGGAAGTGTTTAACTATACCTGTGTTGGTCCCCACAAGGTCAAATGCTATTTCTAGTGGGTTTAGGGTTAAGGTTAGAATTAGTGTTAGAATTAAGTTTAGGGTTAGGGTTAGGAGATTGGGTTAGTTTTAGTGTTAGGAGCTTGGGTTAGGTTTAGGGTTAGGGTTATGGTTAGTTTTTTTGGTTAAGGTTAGGGTTCGGGTAAGGGTACGGGTTAATGTTAGGTTTAGGGGTTAGGGAAGATATGATCTTGAATGTGACTGAATTGTATGTCCCCACATGGTTAGATGCGCAAGACTTTGTGTGTGTGTGTTTGTTCGCGTGTGTGTGTGTGTGTGTGTGTGTGTGAAAGACAAATGCATGATTTGACTGGCAGCATAATTCAACAACTGTCCTTTAGATATGAACATACTGAAGCTTCAAGCTAATTTAGATATCACGTCTTAACAAGTTTAGCTAACATTTAGATTGAAACTGGATTGAACTAGTTTACATATGAGTGAGTACCTGCTCCAGGTGTAGTTGGGTTGTGGGTTGCCGTCTGCTACACATAGGAAGACTGTGGCTTTAGAGGCCTCACTAAGGGTGATGTTCACTGACTGAGGTGGATCTGAGAGAGAGAGAGAGAGAGAGAGAGAGAGAGAGAGAGAGAGAGAGAGAGAGAGAGAGAGAGAGAGAGAGAGGAGAGAGAGAGAGAGACAACATCTCCCTCAACATCAATTAGACCAAGGTGCTGATCGTGGACTATAGGAGAAAGAGGGGAGAGCACGCCTCCATCCATATTGACGGGGCTGTTGTGGAGCGGGTCGAGACCTTTAAGTTATTTGGTGTCCACATCAGTAAGGACTTAACATGGTCCACACTCACCCACACAGTCCTGAAGAGAATGGGTCTTCAGATCCTCAAAGAATTATACAGCTGCACCATCGAGAACATATTTTCTGAGTGCATCACCGCCTGGTATGGCAATTGCACTGCCCTTGACCAAAAAGCGCTACAAAGGGTGGAACTAATAGGTGTTAATAAAAGGTGGAACTAATAGGAGTTATTCAAAGGGTTCTCCTATGGGGACAGCCGAAAAAACATATTTGGTTCTAGGATAGCACGTTATTATCTAAGAGTATATGGACAGACAGGGACTGTTTAGAGGGACTACTAGGCTACTGCCAGTGAAGACAGTGAGAGTCTATACTTACAATGGATGCCTATGGTCTGTGACAGTTATAGTGGAATTTACATGTGGTCCTCTGTAGCTCGGGTTCGATCCCCGGGACCACCCATACACAAAAAATGTATGCACGCATGACTGTTAGTCGCTTTGGATAAAAGCATCTGCTAAATGGCTTATTATTATATTATATTACATTTACAGTGGATACCGATAGTGTAGGACAGTGGTAGTGGAGTATATATTTACGGTGTCTGTCTATAGTGTAGGACAGTAGTAGTGGAGTATATACTTACAGTGTCTGTTTATAGTGTAGGACAGTGGTAGTTCAGTATATATTTACAGTGTCTGTCTATAGTGTAGGACAGTGGTAGTAGAATATATTTACAGTGTCTGTCTATAGTGTAGGACAGTAGTAGTAGAATATATTTACAGTGTCTGTATATAGTGTAGGACAGTGGTAGTAGAATATATTTACAGTGGATGTCTATTGTGTAGGACAGTAGTAGTAGAATATATTTACAGTGGATGTCTATTGTGTAGAACAGTAGTAGTAGAATATATTTACAGTGGATGTTTATAGTGTAGGACAGTGGTAGTATAATATATTTACAGTGGATGTCTATAGTGTAGGACAGTGTTAGTAGAAGACACTTATAGTGGATGTCTATAGTGTAGGACAGTAGTAGTAGAAGACACTTACAGTCGATGTTTATGGTGTAGTTGTAGCTCCTTTCTGTTGTCAGGGCAGACTGGTTGACCACACACTGGACCTGCTGCTGATTGGCTGCTCTGGTTGGCACCCCGAGCAGGTAGCTGAGTACTGTGGTAGTTCCATTGGCGTGCTGGGTGGAGTTTGTCACTGTCCTCAACAAACTGCCGAATGTACTTGAAATCCACTTCACTTCTGCCTGTGGCTTGGCACCAGCAGCCACACAGGTTGCCAAGACAACCTCATCCTCCCCAATGACAGGATGAACATCAACTGTCACACTCACTACTGGAGGAACTATGACCAGAAAACAAACAAACAGAGGACAGAAAACATGAACAAGTCACTCATTATAAATGTGGAACTATACTTGAAAAAACAACCAAAACACACACAGCCCGTCATGTGAAACTTATCCAAATGCTCATGCTCCTGTGTCTACCTGTTCACATGTGTATTCATGCCTTCACTTTCCTGTGTTCCCTTGCTCAGTTTTCTCTGCTAGTTTCTCTGTGCTCAGCAGTACTAATTAGTGTCTGATCGGAGAAGTATGTACAGGTACTCGAAGTGTTCTCCCTGTTTATTATTTCAGTCGTGGTTACTAATTCGTATTTTGGCTGTCAGCCTTTTTTTGGAAACGTATTTGCTCCACCTTTCTTTTATCGTGTTAAGTCATTTATTTTGTATCCTGGCTTCGGGACAATCAGTAAATATCCTTGTTTCACCATTTCTGCCTACTGTCTATCCTGCACCGCACCTGGGCCACATCTCACTCCAACCCTTACACCTGAGGTATTAAGTTTCACACACACATCACAAAAGCTGTTTTTCAGCTTCAGCAGATCCACTGAAAAGCATTCACAGCCCAGTTATTATGCCGTTTTGGAAGGCAGGATATGGTTGTGTATTCTGTTCCACCATAAGGGAAACTATTGATGCCTGGGCTCTCCTGGTTACAGCTTGAGTAACAGGATACACTCTTAGAAAAAAAAGGAGCTAAATAGAACCATATAGGTTTCTTTGGGTTGTCCCCATAGTGGAATCCTTTTTGGTGCTAGGTAGAACCCTTTGTAGAGGGTTCCACCTAGAACCCTCTATGCAAGGTTCTTCCATATAATTAGGAATTAGAATATGATCTCTATTGGTTCCTGATAGATCCCCCTGTAAATGGTTCTGCCTAGAACCCTCTATAAATAATAACATATTTTAAAATGTTTTATTGCCACATACACAAGATAATTGCAGTGAAATGTGTTGTTTTACAGGGTCATCCATAGTAGTACAGCACCCCTGGAGCAAATTAGGGTTGTGCCCATGGCTGGTATCATTCACAACTAAACTCTAAATCTAGAATATAGGACCTGTTTCAAGTGCTCACTTTTATGCTCAAATATAGCACCTTCATATGCGCACTCTCTCCATAAAGGGAAAAAAATCCTTTCAAATGTTTTCAGCTAAGTTCAATTATATTCTTTATAATATACAATCATGTAAAATCAAATAATGGCAGGGGACTCATAAGCATATCTTGTCAGCTAAATGAACAAGCCTACAGCCTATGGCATGGAGAATAACCAGATAACATACAGTAGGCCAACTCATATTCTGTTCTTCTGAAGTGCATTTTCTTAAAATCATTATGCTTCTTTAGACCTGACTGAAATAAATAATGCATTTATTGTGATGGTTGATTTAGGCGCCTTATGTTAATTAACGGTCAATTACCATGAGACCAACAGTCATTTTTGCATGACAATAATGTGTGAGAAAATGTGATGACTGCCACAACCCTACCCCCACCCCCATCAAAGTTGTCCCATCCCTGCTCTACACAGAATAAATTACACAATCACACTCAATTCTCGTTATTAACACCAACTCCTGAATCAACACTAGAAATGTTACACTGAAAAATCCACACTGCTGGTTCACTCATACTTCAATCTATTCTCCCACTCCCTGCTCAATACAATTACAAAATATCATTTATGTCAGTATTGTATTTGTAAAATGATTAAGGGAATCATTGCACAAATCATATGCACAAATATCCCCATATACTGTAGGTACAGTTTTAAAACATATTTAAACATTTATCAGATTACTGGAACTCCTGATGTTAAAGTTTAAACAATTAGATAAACACTAATGCTCATGCACTATTTAAAAAGTAAGAAAAAAATTACAATAAAGATTTCTATGTAGAAACCTTCTTGCCTTTCAAAGAATCAGAAAATAACTATTTCTTCCAAAAACAGATCTTAGGATAAAAAAGGTTATAGGTCGAATCGTATCCCTCTGGAAAGAACCCCTTTGGCACCCTTTTTTCTAAGTGTAGAGAAGATGGATGTTCCTTGGCAAAGCAAAACCTGTAGATGAGGGCTCTGCTCTTGCTTAAATAATTAACCTTCCAACTATTTAGCTTTCTAGTATTGATTATCACATGCAGTCTTTCTACACTGTCAAAAGTAGAAACAGTGATGTAAAGAGTGAAGGAAGAGTTCTTACCAATCACAGTTAGATATATCTCTGTATAGTATGCTCCACTGGGGAAAATAGTGAAGATACATGTGAAGGTGCCTTCATCCAACAGTCTAGCAGCTGTTATTCTAATAGATCCAAGGTTTTCTGATGGGTTCCCAATAAACTGGACTCTACCTTTCAATCCATTCGGTGCAATAAAGTTAGTAACCCCATTGTGATAAATCAGCAGAAAATTATGGTTCTGTGTTTCTTCCAAAGTACTTTTCTGCCATGTTATCTCTTCGAGCTCCTCGGTTGTCTCTATCAGTCTGCAGGATAAGTCCACATCCTCCCCCTGTACCACAGTCCTGCTTCCTCCAATCACCTGTGTACCTGAAGAGAAAACACAAGTCAAAAAAACTGTCCAAAAGATACCTGTAGAATAGATGCTTATGAACTCTAATAAACAGAGATGTTACCTAAACACACCGATTAGACCATGATTTGTATTTAGCTGTGCTTATGAACTATGATATCCTATTGATATTGAATTGTGGTTATTGCAATAACAAATGTGCCAATTGCTCATTATTTGACCCTATACCCATATGTGCAGCCATAGTCAGAGGAGATCGCTAAAGCACATTCTGATCTGGGTCCAGTCTAGTCTGAAACTACTTAGTGAATATGTTCTTAGAATAATAAGCCAACAGCCTTGACTCTATCCCTATACTTATTCAAGAGTAAGATATTCAATACATTCCCAGATACTTGGGCATACTCAGCATGTCTCAAAACATACTGAGTTAAAAACATAGTAAACATTCTGAGTTAAACACATAGTAAACATACTGAGTTAAACACATAGTAAACATACTGAGTTAAACACATAGTAAACATACTGAGTTAAACACATAGTAAACATACTGGGTTAAACACATAGTAAACATACTGGGTTAAAAACATAGTAAACATACTGAGTTAAACACATAGTAAACATACTGAGTTAAACACATAGTAAACATACTGAGTTAAACACATAGTAAACATACTGAGTTAAACACATAGTAAACATACTGAGTTAAAAACATAGTAAACATACTGAGTTAAACACATAGTAAACATACTGGGTTAAACACATAGTAAACATACTGAGTTAAAAACATAGTAAACATACTGAGTTAAAAACATAGTAAACATACTGAGTTAAAAACATAGTAAACATACTGAGTTAAAAACATAGTAAACATACTGAGTTAAAAACATAGTAAACATACTGAGTTAAACACATAGTAAACATACTGAGTTAAACACATAGTAAACATACTGAGTTAAACACATAGTAAACATACTGAGTTAAACACATAGTAAACATACTGAGTTAAAAACATAGTAAACATACTGAGTTAAAAACATAGTAAACATACTGAGTTAAAAACATAGTAAACATACTGAGTTAAACACATAGTAAACATACTGAGATGATATGTGTGCCTTATTGTACCCTAAAAGGACCAGGACTACAATTTAATGGTGGGATTGTGTGTTTGGTGGGTGTTATTTTCTGCCTAGTATTAATAAGAAAAAAGTGATAAAAACATGAGCGCAATAATATGACATTTGATGACGTCAATTGAAAACCTACTTTCTGTGTCCCTCTGGATGATGAGTAGAATCACACAGTACAGCTTCTGTAACATGCTTTGCTCTTCTCATTGCTAGGGTCATAGGGGAAATGTAATTATGGAATTGTATTACATTTTGAGATTGCCGTTTGTAATAATGAGGACCTATTCATTGTTTATGCAAAACAGTTATGTAGGCTATCTCAAATGTAAAATAATGTTGAATGCAATGCAATTTATTCGAGCAATGGTCTGCAATCACCACTCTTTGATGGAGACTATGCACATCTTGCAAAGTAGCTGTTCGGATTTTCCGGTATTTAGCCCTCCGAAAAGGCTCACCAGGAAGCACACAATGTCATGACTCGTGTTTTGTCCTTAATTTTATTTGAAATCAAATGACCACAGGTCATAAACCTGAATTACAACAAACAAATAATGACAATATATTACTCAAATATATAATGTAAATATTATTCAAATAATATAATCATAATGTAAATAATGAAAATCAAATAAGCCTACAACACCATCAAAAATGTGGCAAATCTGGTTTAAAACAGCATTGGCTACATCACCCAGAATGCCTAGTGCCAGAGGAGCATGCGCACAGCGACTCCGCCGTTGCCACAGGACACAGAACCATGCCACCACATGCCTCGTCCAAAGGACCCACCCACACACGCAACACAATGCGGCGCTCCACCATGGATCACCGAACCAAACCACCGCCACCAGAAACCAGCAGAGTGCTCCGAACAATCAGCACAACGCAAATGGCTGATAATGATAGCCTAATGCTATACAGCATCTGTTTAGCTGAGCTACCGCACCCAGCGAGCTACAAGTTACTCTCCGCCAACTAACACCGACACAGTGAGGTAAACGTTCAGTGCTCAAACATATAAGTGACTTAAACATTAATGCTAGACTGTGAGTAGTTCGCAGTTACATACCAACGGGCTGTGTGCTCCTGATGATTGTCTGCGGTGAAATGATTACCAGGTGCCATAATTTAAGTCTCTAGTGAAGCTGTGCATGCGCACATAACATAACATATCCGAGCGTCTAAGAAACTTAAAGAAATCACTCGTTCCCCATTTAATTGAACACATCAGACCCATTTGCTTCTCTTTTATCTATTTATATATTTTTTCTTCTCTTTTTTCTTTTCCTGAGTGAGCTAGAAGTCTCAACAGTAGCCTACACCTTATTACAAAAATAAACCAACAGTTCTATATTGGTCAGTAGTATTGAAACCAAACAGATGAATCTGTAAATTTAATAGGCCACTAACCTGTGATGAATGTAAGTTCCTCTGCTGAAGTAGCTGAGACATTTGTTTTTTGCTGTTTGTGCTGACAAATGTCCTGCTGCTCCTGTAGGAAACAGTTATTGAGTAAGCCTCAGCAGCTATTGCAACATGGGGTGGATCATGGATGAGACAGTCTAGTCTCCACCCCACTCGTAGAATCCTGGCTTTTCACAGTACTATACGAGTGCAGCCGCAGTAACAATCAGACATAGAATAACAACGAGTAGAACCCAACAGGCAGCAGAGGTCTCTGTGAGGAGAGAGGGGATACAGTTAATATAGGAAACAGTCTGCATTTACAATTACATATAATTGTGTTGCCCTAACAAGCATCATGGCTCTGATGCAAACATTTTCCTGCAGAAAGCAAAGAGATAATACTAAGTAATAAGACATGTACATATGCAGTAAGAGATAACATTTACATTTACGTCATTTAGCAGACGCTCTTATCCAGAGCGACATACAGTTAGTGAGTGCATACATTATTTTTAATTTTTTCATACAGGCCCCCCGTGGGAATCGAACCCACAACCCTGGCGTTGCAAACGCCATGCTCTACCAACTGAGCTACATCCCTGCCGGCCATTCCCTCCCCTACCCGGGACGACGCTGGGCCAATTGTACGCCGCCCCATAGGTCTCCCGGTCGCGGCCGGCTACGACAGAGCCTGGATAAGTGTGTATCATGACCATCTTAGTTAGTGGTTATACAGTACCTTCCTGTAGAAAGAGGAATGAGGACATACGTCTGATACTAACACATGCAGTGAAAGATAAGTGAGCATCTGGCTCAACTTTGTTATCCATGCTACATCACATTTCTCATAACCTCATATACAATGGCCAAGACCAGAGAGCTGTGTAAGGACATCATGGATAAAATTGTAGACCTGCACAAGGCTGGGATGGGCTACAGGACAATAGGCAAGCAGCTTGGTGAGAAGGCAACAATTGTTGCCGCAAATATTAGAAAATGGAAGAAGTTCAAGATGACGGTCAATCACCCTCGGTCTGGGGCTCCATGCAAGATCTCACCTCGTGGGGCATCAATGATCATGAGGAAGGTGAGGGATCAGCCCAGAACAATTATAAGCAACTTATAAAACAGTATAAGCAACCAGTTAAGTAACCAGTATGAATACTGTGTGTGTGTGTCTCTCTCTCAGGTGCTTCTCACCAGAGGATGTGTGTACATAGAGGGAGCCAGTTGCTCGTCCGTAGGGGTTGGAGGCCTCACAGACATAGAGACCATTCAGCTCAGAGCTGAGACTGAGGAGGTGCAGTTTGTCTCCCTCTGCTCTCACTGAAGACCCAGGCCATGGCTGGACCACTCTGGGGGAGTGAGAGGAGGAGAGGGGCTGAGTGTGTGTCTGTGTGAGTGTGTGTGTGTGTGTGTGTGTGTGGAAGTGTTTAACTATACCTGTGTTGGTCCCCACAAGGTCAAATGCTATTTCTAGTGGGTTTAGGGTTAAGGTTAGAATTAGTGTTAGAATTAAGTTTAGGGTTAGGAGATTGGGTTAGTTTTAGGGTTAGGAGCTTGGGTTAGGTTTAGGGTTAGGGTTATGGTTAGGGTTCGGGTAAGGTTACGGGTTAATGTTAGGGTTAGGGGTTAGGGAAGATATGATCTTGAATGTGACTGAATTGTATGTCCCCACATGGTTAGATGCGCAAGACTTTGTGTGTGTGTGTTTGTTCGCGTGTGTGTGTGAAAGACAAATGCATGATTTGACTGGCAGCATAATTCAACAACTGTCCTTTAGATATGAACATACTGAAGCTTCAAGCTAATTTAGATATCACGTCTTAACAAGTTTAGCTAACATTTAGATTGAAACTGGATTGAACTAGTTTACATACGAGTGAGTACCTGCTCCAGGTGTAGTTGGGTTGTGGGTTGCCGTCTGCTACACATAGGAAGACTGTGGCTTTAGAGGCCTCACTAAGGGTGATGTTCACTGACTGAGGTGGATCTATGAGAGAGAGAGAGAGAGAGAGAGAGAGAGAGAGAGAGAGAGAGAGAGAGAGAGAGAGAGAGGAGAGAGAGACAACATCTCCCTCAACATCAATTAGACCAAGGTGCTGATCGTGGACTATAGGAGAAAGAGGGGAGAGCACGCCTCCATCCATATTGACGGGGCTGTTGTGGAGCGGGTCGAGACCTTTAAGTTATTTGGTGTCCACATCAGTAAGGACTTAACATGGTCCACACTCACCCACACAGTCCTGAAGAGAATGGGTCTTCAGATCCTCAAAGAATTATACAGCTGCACCATCGAGAACATATTTTCTGAGTGCATCACCGCCTGGTATGGCAATTGCACTGCCCTTGACCAAAAAGCGCTACAAAGGGTGGAACTAATAGGTGTTAATAAAAGGTGAAACTAATAGGAGTTATTCAAAGGGTTCTCCTATGGGGACAGCCGAAAAAACATATTTGGTTCTAGGATAGCACGTTATTATCTAAGAGTATATGGACAGACAGGGACTGTTTAGAGGGACTACTAGGCTACTGCCAGTGAAGACAGTGAGAGTCCTCTGTAGCTCGGGTTCGATCCCCGGGACCACCCATACACAAAAAATGTATGCACGCATGACTGTTAGTCGCTTTGGATAAAAGCATCTGCTAAATGGCTTATTATTATATTATATTACATTTACAGTGGATACCGATAGTGTAGGACAGTGGTAGTGGAGTATATATTTACGGTGTCTGTCTATAGTGTAGGACAGTAGTAGTGGAGTATATACTTACAGTGTCTGTTTATAGTGTAGGACAGTGGTAGTTCAGTATATATTTACAGTGTCTGTCTATAGTGTAGGACAGTGGTAGTATAATATATTTACAGTGTCTGTCTATAGTGTAGGACAGTGGTAGTATAATATATTTACAGTGTCTGTCTATAGTGTAGGACAGTGGTAGTATAATATATTTACAGTGTCTGTCTATAGTGTAGGACAGTGGTAGTATAATATATTTACAGTGTCTGTCTATAGTGTAGGACAGTGGTAGTATAATATATTTACAGTGTCTGTCTATAGTGTAGGACAGTGGTAGTATAATATATTTACAGTGGATGTCTATTGTGTAGGACAGTAGTAGTAGAATATATTTACAGTTTATGTCTATAGTGTAGGACAGTAGTAGTAGAATATATTTACAGTTTATGTCTATAGTGTAGGACAGTAGTAGTAGAATATATTTACAGTTTATGTCTATAGTGTAGGACAGTAGTAGTAGAAGACACTTACAGTCGATGTTTATGGTGTAGTTGTAGCTCCTTTCTGTTGTCAGGGCAGACTGGTTGACCACACACTGGACCTGCTGCTGATTGGCTGCTCTGGTTGGCACCCCGAGCAGTTAGCTGAGTACTGTGGTAGTTCCATTGGCGTGCTGGGTGGAGTTTGTCACTGTCCTCAACAAACTGCCGAATGTACTTGAAATCCACTTCACTTCTGCCTGTGGCTTGGCACCAGCAGCCACACAGGTTGCCAAGACAACCTCATCCTCCCCAATGACAGGATGAACATCAACTGTCACACTCACTACTGGAGGAACTATGACCAGAAAACAAACAAACAGAGGACAGAAAACATGAACAAGTCACTCATTATAAATGTGGAACTATACTTGAAAAAACAACCAAAACACACACAGCCCGTCATGTGAAACTTATCCAAATGCTCATGCTCCTGTGTCTACCTGTTCACATGTGTATTCATGCCTTCACTTTCCTGTGTTCCCTTGCTCAGTTTTCTCTGCTAGTTTCTCTGTGCTCAGCAGTACTTATTAGTGTCTGATCGGAGAAGTATGTACAGGTACTCGAAGTGTTCTCCCTGTTTATTATTTCAGTCGTGGTTACTAATTCGTATTTTGGCTGTCAGCCTTTTTTTGGAAACGTATTTGCTCCACCTTTCTTTTATCGTGTTAAGTCATTTATTTTGTATCCTGGCTTCGGGACAATCAGTAAATATCCTTGTTTCACCATTTCTGCCTACTGTCTATCCTGCACCGCACCTGGGCCACATCTCACTCCAACCCTTACACCTGAGGTATTAAGTTTCACACACACATCACAAGATAATTGCAGTGAAATGTGTTGTTTTACAGGGTCATCCATAGTAGTACAGCACCCCTGGAGCAAATTAGGGTTGTGCCCATGCAGCCCCTATATATTTTTTTATTTCTAAGACATTCTAAGGCTGGTATCATTCACAACTAAACTCTAAATCTAGAATATAGGACCTGTTTCAAGTGCTCACTTTTATGCTCAAATATAGCACCTTCATATGCGCACTCTCTCCATAAAGGGAAAAAAATCCTTTCAAATGTTTTCAGCTAAGTTCAATTATATTCTTTATAATATACAATCATGTAAAATCAAATAATGGCAGGGGACTCATAAGCATATCTTGTCAGCTAAATGAACAAGCCTACAGCCTATGGCATGGAGAATAACCAGATAACATACAGTAGGCCAACTCATATTCTGTTCTTCTGAAGTGCATTTTCTTAAAATCATTATGCTTCTTTAGACCTGACTGAAATAAATAATGCATTTATTGTGATGGTTGATTTAGGCGCCTTATGTTAATTAACGGTCAATTACCATGAGACCAACAGTCATTTTTGCATGACAATAATGTGTGAGAAAATGTGATGACTGCCACAACCCTACCCCCAACCCCATCAAAGTTGCCCATCCCTGCTCTACACAGAATAAATTACACAATCCCACTCAATTCTCGTTATTAACACCAACTCCTGAATCAACACTAGAAATGTTACACTGAAAAATCCACACTGCTGGTTCACTCATACTTCAATCTATTCTCCCACTCCCTGCTCAATACAATTACAAAATATCATTTATGTAAGTATTGTATTTGTAAAATGATTAAGGGAATCATTGCACAAATAATATGCACAAATATCCCCATATACTGTAGGTACAGTTTAAAACATATTTAAACATTTATCAGATTACTGGAACTCCTGATGTTAAAGTTTAAACAATTAGATAAACACTAATGCTCATGCACTATTTAAAAATAAGAAAAAAATTACAATAAAGATTTCTATGTAGAAACCTTCTTGCCTTTCAAAGAATCAGAAAATAACTATTTCTTCCAAAAACAGATCTTAGGATAAAAAAGGTTATAGGTCGAATCGTATCCCTCTGGAAAGAACTCCTTTGGCACCCTTTTTTCTAAGTGTAGAGAAGATGGATTTTCCATGGCAAAGCAAAACCTGTAGATGAGGGCTCTGCTCTTGCTTAAATAATTAACCTTCCAACTATTTAGCTTTCTAGTATTGATTATCACATGCAGTCTTTCTACACTGTCAAAAGTAGAAACAGTGATACAAAGAGTGAAGGAAGAGTTCGTACCAATCACAGTTAGAGATATCTCTGTATAGTATGCTCCACTGGGGAAAATAGTGAAGATACATGTGAAGGTGCCTTCATCCAACAGTCTGACAGCTGTTATTCTAATAGATCCAAGGTTTTCTGATGGGTTCCCAATAAACTGGACTCTACCTTTCAATCCATTCAGTGCAATAAAGTTAGTAACCCCATTGGGAGAAATAAGCATAAAATTATGGTTCTGTTTTTCTTCCTGAGTACTTTTCTGCCATGTTATCTGTTCAAGCTCCTCGTCTGTCTCTATCAGTCTGCAGGATAAGTCCACATCCTCCCCTTGTACCACAGTCCTGCTTCCTCCAATCACCTGTGTACCTGGAAAGAAAACACTTGGTCAAAAAAACTATCAAAAAGATGCCTGTATATATCATAAAAAGGCAAAGGAATTCAATAAAATGGTGGGAGTATGTGTTTGGTGTGTGTTATTGCCTGCCTTGTGTTAATATAACAATTATAAACACTAAAAAACATGAGGTCAATAGTATGAGATTTGATGACATCAATTGGAAACCTACTTTCTGTATCCCTCTGGATGATGAGTAGAATCACACAGCACAGCTTCCGTAACATGCTTTACTCTTCTCATTAGTCACTAGGGGAAATGTAATGATATAATTATATTACATTTCAAGATTGGTGATTTGTAAAATAATAATAAGTTATGTTATTTATCAAATAAATGGCTATTTCATTTCATGGGGGCAATAGAACCTGAAATCAATAGTTATGCTGTTAAATGTCCCAGAATGTAATAGGCTACAATGTTTAAAGCACAGTAGTAACTCACTAGGCTTACGGGGCGGTGTGCACCCATGGCAGCCAATAACTTGTCATATAATTGAAATAAATTGTTACAAGCAGAACACAATTATACTATTAATTTGTTGTTGATTGCTATATTTAGTTTAGAATATATGTATTTTGGCACTGATAAGTGATTTATATCTGCATTTGTTTACCACCAGAACAGCCTGGCCTCGACAGAGCCCCCTTCGAGCCAATGACGAGTCTTATGTCAACATTCTTAATGGTCTAATAAATACATTTCATATATGCTACCGCAAAAAAATATATAATTTAGTTGTGTTTATGAAGATCTTAGATAACAGAATATGAATGAAAATGTAGGCTCATGTCGAAGAACTGTCACGATCGTTGAGAGATGGGTCGGACCAAGGTGCAGCGTGAAAAGCGTACATGTTTATTACCTCAATAAACATACGACAAAACCAGAAACAACGTAACATGAAGTTCAAAGGGCTATACACATACAAGCCTAACTACTTTTGTGCCATGTTATGTGTTTGAGCTCCTTGGTTGTCTCTTATCAGTCTGCAGGATAAGTCCACATCCTCCCCCTGTACCACAGTCCTGCTTCCTCCAATCACCTGTGTACCTGAAGAGAAAACACAAGTCAAAAAAACAGTCCAAAAGATACCTGTAGAATAGATGCTTATGAACTCTAATAAACAGAGATGTTACCTAAACACACTGATAAGACCATTATTTGTATTTAGCTGTGCTTATGAAATATGACATCCAATTGATGCTGAAATGTGGATATTGCAACAACAACAAAAATGTGCCAATTGCTCATTATTTGACCCTATACCCATTTGTGCAGCCATAGTCAGAGGAGATCGCTAAAGCACATTCTGATCTGGGTCCAGTCTAGTCTGAAACTACTTAGTGAATATGTTCTTAGAATAATAAGCCAAAAGCCCTGACTCTATCCCTATACTTATTCAAGAGTAAGATATTCAATACATTCCCAGATACTTGGGCATGCTCAGCATGTCTCAAAATATACTGAGTTAAAAACATAGTAAACATACTGGGTTAAAAACATAGTAAACATACTGAGTTAAACACATAGTAAACATACTGAGCAAAACACACAATCCCACCATTAAATTGTAGTCCTGGTCCTTTTAGGGTACAATAAGGCACACATATCATCTCAGTATGTTTACTATGTTTTTAACTCAGTATGTTTACTATGTTTTTAACTCAGTATGTTTACTATGTTTTTAACACAGTATGTTTACTATGTTTTTAACTCAGTATGTTTACTATGTTTTTAACTCAGTATGTTTACTATGTTTTTAACTCAGTATGTTTACTATGTTTTTAACTCAGTATGTTTACTATGTTTTTAACTCAGTATGTTTACTATGTGTTTAACTCAGTATGTTTACTATGTGTTTAACTCAGTATGTTTACTATGTGTTTAACTCAGTATGTTTACTATGTGTTTAACTCAGTATGTTTACTATGTGTTTAACTCAGTATGTTTACTATGTTTTTAACTCAGTATGAATACCGAGTTAAAAACATAGTAAACACATGCCTCGTCCAAAGGACCCACCCACACACGCAACACAATGCGGCTCTCCACCATGGATCACCGAACCAAACCACCGCCACCAGAAACCAGCAGAGTGCTCCGAACAATCAGCACAACGCAAATGGCTGATAATCATAGCCTAATGCTATACAGCATCTGTTTCGCTGAGCTACCGCACCCAGCGAGCTACAAGTTACTCTCCGCCAACTAACACCGACACAGTGAGGTAAACGTTCAGTGCTCAAACATATAAGTGACTTAAACATTAATGCTAGACTGTGAGTAGTTCGCAGTTACATACCAACGGGCTGTGTGCTCCTGATGATTGTCTGCCGTGAAACGATTACCAGGTGCCATAATTTAAGTCTAGTGAAGCTGTGCATGCGCACATAACATAACATATCCGAGCGTCTAAGAAACTTAAAGAAATCACTCGTTCCCCATTTAATTGAACACATCAGACCCATTTGCTTCTCTTTTATCTATTTATATTTTTTTTTTCTTTTCCTGAGTGAGCTAGAAGTCTCAACAGTAGCCTACACCTTATTACAAAAATAAACCAACAGTTCTATATTGGTCAGTAGTATTGAAACCAAACAT